TACTATATTACAACTCCTTTAATTTATTATAGACAATATTAGTTCGACCCTAGCTTAAGGTAGGCTCGCGAATTCCTTGCGGGAAGCACGGCAAAACACGATGTATTCTTATCGAAACACGGTGAATTCCTAGAGAAACATAGCGAATTCCTAGAGAAACATGGTGAATTCCTAGCAAATCTTAGAGAAAAATCGCCGCGGAATCAAGCGAAATTTCACCGTGAAATCTAAGAGAATTCCGAGAGTTTTTTTTCACCGCGTCGCGGCGATTCGGTCCCAAAAATTTGGGAGGAACTGTAAATGTTTCATTACCGAAAAAAGTAAGAATATGCTACAACTCTTGTTGACTGCCCGGACAATTTAGCTGCTGTGGGCGTATGTTTGTTGCCTGGCAACCTATCTTTATCTGATTTTGATGAAACTTGAAATATATGTTTATAACCCAACGATCTTGGTTCCTTTATATATATTGGACAATAACTTCTGGTATATGGCCCCTAATTGAACGAAAAAATCATGTTTTTAGTGTGTGGTCCCTAAAGAGGTCACAATAGTTATCCGATTTTAAATTTTTTTATAAATATTTCACCGTTGCACTAGTATGATGGTTGAGTTTGAATTTTGTGAAAATCAGACCGAAACTGCCAGACAAAATGGCAACTCCCTGTATGTAATATCAAAGTTGTGGACCATCTAGAAGTCACAATTTTTATCCAATTTTGATGAAACTTAAAACATGTGTTTATATCCCAAAGATCTCAGTTCCTTTCGATATTTGCGCATATCCATGTGGGCGTATCTTGCCTGGCAATCACTGGTTGCCTTACTCACTGAGTCACTGTGGCTCACTAATAACCTGTACGGTACATGTACATGTACATGATGTGCCGGTGGCTCCTGTAATACTGTATTATATACTACTTATTGCATGTTAACCCTTTCACTGCGTATACCCGGTAGTACCGGGTATTATAAAATGTCGGTAAAATGCCCGTACCCGGTATTACCGTGTACTCAGTAAAGCCCTCGCTAAAATTAGTACCGTAACTGCAAGTGCCATCTATTGTATTTTCTATACACTAGAACATATTTCCACGTGTTTCAAAGCGGCAAACCGTAAAATGGCGGAGTGCATTGTGACAACGTAGACGATGCACTCTCGACGAAGTCGTGAATGACGTCTTGCTGACCAACATGTGGACAATTTCGAGGCGGGTGATACACATAATTCGTTTCCAGTTACTTGATAATGATAGTAGTCAGGACAGTGATTGGTATTATGAAGTGTGTGATTTGTTGCGCGACGTTCCGCCCATGGCTAGCTATGTCTCCCGTGCATGATGAACAAGCCCAATGTGAACACGCTAGCCCTGTGTCTGCAGTAGATTCTGACAATAATTCTGATGTTTATAATAATGCTGGCCTGCTGGATCGTAAAATACGTAGGTAATTCCTGATTCCCGAACGTGTAGATCTATTGACTGACTATATTGATAATGATATAGGACTTGGGGATGAAAGTGAAAGTGAAAGTAAAATCAAGGTATTGCAATCCGCACGTGGTCATGGCAGCGGGAGACGTGATGCGCGTGTTCGCGGCGGCATTGCTCATGGCTGCTATTGATATTTTTGTTCATTTTATATATCTTTATCAAAATCCAGTAAAAAAAACAATATCTTTTAAGTATTTCATGGAGAAAAATTCGTTTTCGTGTTAGCTTTAGTGTGAAATGAGAAATCCAAAATGGCCGCCATGACGTCACGTGACTACATTATTATGCAAATTTCCAAAATTCTATTTTTTCCTCTTAGCCCAACCTCATGCCCATCCCAACAGACAAAAAGATTTTTCATAAAAGCTTCCATAAGTACTGCTTGGCATTCAGTTCCAACCTCCCTTTTTTCCTCAAAAAAGGGTCTAGCACAGGCAGTGGATTTACGTCTAGCATTGAAAGGGTTAAAATGTGCAGGTTGTGAAAAGAACTTTCCTTGAAGCATTTTCAAACCTGTTTTTCGTAACAAATATACTTTTCTATATGTACATGTAAAATGTACATGCCATTTACATGCATGTTTTCTAATCAATGCATATGTATTTATTAAGATGATGACCCGAGTAAATATATATACATGTTTATATATATATATCTTTTAAGTTTAAACTGGCTACATATACATGTAAATACCCTAAAGATTCACCAGTACTTGTAAATGAAGGTCTATTGTAAGCAATGAAAGCTTTATTCATCCAGTAATTTAGTGTTTGGGTTCACTCAAACTTATTTTATTAACAAGGCTGACAAGAAAAAAAATGAAGTCAGAAAGTCAATAAACTTACATGTACATGTATTTCCATTGAGTGACAATGAACTTAATACATGTTTAAACTCAAGTATGTGTACAGAAATTTTGAAATGGGGGTGTAGACCTTGGAAATAGATGTATTTCACTGGTATACTGTAACTTAAAATAAATATTGTAATTTGACAAAAAAAGGAGCTCACCCTTAAACCCAACCCCAATTCTTCTCATGTTGTCATGATAATTGATATTCTTCTAATCTTCTTGATAGCAAGTCTGAAAAAAATATATGACAACTATATACATGTAACTTCCTATACCTGTTATCTTCCTAGTCTATATTTATATTATCAACATCAAATTTAAACCTGCAGTAAAAGTATTTTGGAAGAAAAGATCATTTTCATTGGTGAGGCCTTGATTTATTGCTTGGCTTGCTTTCTTAGTGGCATTCCATTCATTTCCTAACCTCATAGTATGAGAGGAGAGTAGGCTGTACTAGCAAACATGTTTATAAGAAATGGGATATTATATACTGTTCAAGGTCAACACAATATAAAAACTCTATGATTATTATTCATCATTCATCATATATTACATTAGATGTAGTCACGTTTCTTAATACTATAGAATTATGAAATGTGCATGTAGTTATACTTTTCAGTTTTTTGGGTTACAGTAATTAATATTGCAGGATATGGTCGTGTGATATCTTACACACTACACATGAGTGACATGACAACATTTGATATACATGTTCTAAAGATCTAGCCTTTGTTTATTCACACTTCTATTAGTTTTTAATGTCCACTTGCACAGATGGTGATATCGCAGACAAGTTGTCTTATTTTTATTATGTTATACATGTATTTTTCATTTATCAATTACATGTACCAGTGTCAGAAAGAAATTTACATCTTATTTTCTGATGTTGTTTTAAGCATACATGTAGATGTATTTTATTACCTGTACTGTACTTTAGAGAACATATGTATGTGTACTTTAAAGCAATGTACTTTTACATTTCTCTGACATTATTAAATGTAACCTTAACATAACTCACTCTCAGGAATCAGGCTAGGAAAGAATGTTTTCATCTGTCTTGTGATTATTGTAGATTTCCACTTAATTTATTGGACCCGACTTTATTTTAAAGAGGGGATATTAGTGTATTTTAATTAAGAAAACTTATTGTACATTTAATTACCGAAAATGCAAGCATTTTGCACCACATTTGCTTCAGTCCTTGAAAACAAAGTATAATGAATCTTATAAGGTCTATTTTCGAATGGATTAACAGATATATCTCAAATTGTGCACACAATCTAATTTGAACACACCTAGTAGAACAAAGCATGGTTTTAGCAATATTATTATCAATCTGTATTTTCTCAAATCATGTACAGTCTTTGAACAGTGTAAAAACATACTATGGCCATTTACAGCTTACTGTATCCAAAAACGTCCCATATGATCTCAGATATGATCTCAAATAAATGTGTGAAAAAAACAGAAATTAAATCAGTTGGCTACCAAAATAGTGTCTGTTCACATTCAACGATGGTTATTTGAAAGTGCTTTATATTATGAAGGTTAAACTGTCAAAATTTCTAATTGATATACATACATTTAACAATTAGTTAGTAGGATGCCATGGTGGATCAGTGGGTAAGATGTTGGCTCGCTAACCTGGAGGTCCTCTGTTTGATCCCTGTATTGGCCAAGAAAGTTCATTGCGATTTTCCAGTATGGTTCCATGTTGTCAGTGGTGCAGGACTGAGAGCCAGACAAGGACAGCAGTCTAGTTGTTCAGATGGAACGAAAAATATTCATTCGAATGGGACAAAAAACTGATGTCTCGTGTACACATATTGCCGTGCAAGTAAAAGATCACTTGGCAGTTGGAATTCGATATAACAATAGGCTGTAGTGCCGCTGTCCGGACAAAAATTCCATCCTAGCAAGCACACTGTATGGCGGGCATATGTCCATCTTCGGTAGCTCAGTCGGAGCAGAAAAGTAGGACGTTAAATCCCATATTGCCGTGCAAGTAAAAGATCACTTGGCAGTTGGAATTCGATAGAACAATAGGCTGTAGCGCCGCTGTCCGGACAAAAATTCCATCATAGCAAGCACACTGTATGGCGGGCATATGTCCCATTTCGTTTCTATTCTTGGGCCCCTGGAAATGTACACAAATGGGTAGCAACTAGCAAGGCATATAATAATGTACTATTATAATGTATTATAATCATAATGTAGGATTAAAGGTTGGTTAATGACTGCAAGTTGTTCAGACAAGTGTAAGCTCCTTTTACCCTAAATTGAGAGAGCTAGATACATGTTATGGGCGACAAAGTTGTTGAAAAACACTTCTGTGAATGCCTGTTAAATGGTGCAGTTTAATGCACTTAATAATGATTTACATGTAAAAATGTTGTATCAATTTCATGATGATTTGTGTTGAATTTGGCTTGTAATTTGAGCATTTTTGGTGAAGGATTTTGTTTTGGGTGGACCAGTCTGAAATTGATATGTAAATTATTCCACCATATTATTGAAATACATGTAATAACCCATTTTTACTCACATTCTGTAAAATGTCTGCAATTGCATTGAAATATTTTGGAATAGTTAATTTAGTTCCATGTACATGTATACATGTATTATCATTTTTCGTATTTCTTTTTATGTTACAGAACCCAAAAAGAAACCCAAATGTGAAATTACCACCCCTTACAACTCTGCTTATATATCGGCTTATCTGAGACATTTTACAGCGGGAAGAGGTTGCAGCACGAACAATACCTCTCCAAGTAAACAAGCTGTACATGTGGTTAATCTGAATGTAAAACAACAACTAGCTGATGGAAAACGAAGTAAAATTCATCTCCGGATTGAACCCCTTACTACAGGTATAGTAGAATTACTTGGACATTCATTTTTGGGTTTTTTTTTTTTTTTTTTTTTTTTTTACTTTATGGTTTTAATTGTCTACATTATTTTTTCTAAGAATAATTTAGACTTATTGAAAAGAGAAATTGCCAGTGTTTTAAACTACAGTAGTTGGCGGTGGTTACAAAACCCACCCCATTGAGCCTTCATAGATGGCAAATATTATTATTACATGTACACCTGTATCGAGTGGTTGAATCCACCACACCTCAGTTATTCCAGCTGTAGGTAGTATCTCACTGAACTGATGGTTAGTGCCCTGTAAAATTATTGGAGCTTGAAAACCATTTGATAATAATTATGTGACAAGCTGCATTGTAAACCTAAAAGAGTTTTGTGCATGGTACATGTATTGCATTACCTACAGTCTACAGAATAATAGTCTTTAAAATCAACAATTTTTGTCTCTGAGTCTTTGGTTGTCGTATGTCAAAGGTAAATGCACTGGGGGCACGGTATTAAACTCATTATTGTAGATTTATACATTGAGTTATTTGATAGAGAGATAGAGAGAGACAAATGGGGTTTTATGTCCACTTGACACAAACTAGGTCATTTTGGGATTAACATGGTTCAATTTTATTTCAATAATTTGCTTAAGTGTAGGGGGTTTTTAGCAGTGGGAGGAAACTGGAGGACCTGAAGAAAACCCAAGAGGTTGGACAGGCGACCCTACTCCTTGAAATGTACAACCAGGGAATTATTTGATAGACGACTGGTAAAAGTTCGCTTTATGTGAAATTCTACATGTATTAATATTTTACTCAATTAAGTCCCTTTGTTAGTTTAAATATATTTTATGGCATCAGGTCCCTTTGTTACTTTAAACAAATTTTATTGCATCTTTGTTACTGGGTACACATGTACATGTATATGATAAGAAAAAAAAATTGATTAGCAACTATTGGATGTTTAAGAAATTGATTAGCAGTTCCTCTTTGTTGAATAGCAAATAAGTTAATTTTTATGATATTATATTGAATGATCTCTAAAGGCGATAATTTCTACCGATATTCAACTAATGTTTATGTGGGATAACCACGAATTGTTTTATGTTATGTGTAGTATACTGTGTTCTGAATATTCAATTCCCTTACAGTATTCCAATTTATGTCTATAATATTCTTTCAATATTAGATGTTTTTGTAATACGATAGAATGAAAGCGTACCAACCTGTAGGCTACCTTCTTCAAATTTACGCCAGTAATATTTCTCCAACATTATGTGTCTTCATTTACACGGCAGAAAATGAAAGCAAAATGTCTGTGATAAGAAAAGTTTGTGATATCGAAACCTTGTTTATCTTCATTAAAAAACGGTATTTACATCGTAGCATCGACAAGGGTATGCAAAAAAAAATCATTGTTGCCATTTTGTTGTTATCCGCCCACGTTACTTCTTTTCTCGCCAAAATGAACCACATGCCATTTGAGTCGCGAATTAGGTTGTTAAACGAATAAAAATTAGACTGGCGTACATACAAATGTAGCTAATAACAGTGCGCTCTTTCGGATGGATTTATTTTTTCGTATGATTATAGTCTATGGAATATTTTGTTGTTAGTGAATGGAAAACGTTTAAAATTTTGTGTGATGGCAAATGGTATGCCAGATGGAAACACATGGTCAATTCTTACGGAGGGAAATGGCTACGGATAAAAATTATTGGTTTGTCAATAATTATCAAGCTTGTACTATTTACGGAATTATTAAATTTAACGTTTATACTAAATACTTACTTAGGTCATGAACTGAATGACTGTTAAAAGGTTAGCTTACAACTAGTTTATTGACTAATACTTTTAATCTTGTCGACCAAAATCAATGTGATTAAAATATCACCTTTAGTAAACATTTTTTCACACTCAATTCGGAACAAGAAACTTGACCAAAGATTCCTTTAAATTTGATATCTTTCTGCTAATCAAATTAATAATTGATTCGCATCTACGTTGTTTTTGTTTACCAAACTGTGATACGATACCGCTTATCATATTCTCTGCTTTGTATCTTAAAGATACTTTCCCACAAAAGTATTTATTGGGTGGTTATTTTCAATAAAAGTATGGCAGTTTTGGTATATACACATATGGAAAGTGGAGACACCCAATCTTTCTAGAAAAATACTGGATTCCTTGAAAAACACACATGGAGCATGCACAGGACAAAAATGAGAGAGTGTCTGGCAATTAAGGGATATCTGCTCAAGTGACATCAAGGGTTGCATGCAGAGATTGTCTGCTCTCACAGCATTAGGGAGCACTTGATGTATATATTGATAAACTTGATAGTGAGTGGACTAGGGAAAAGTTTCTGAGATAAAAACAACGGAAAAAGATGTGGCGCAGTGGATAATCCGAGAATTTAATTAGGCTTCAATATTTACATGTATGATAAATGGACTGCAATTAAAGACAGCATTGAATTTTATTTGCAGTAATTCTCCACCGGCTTCGCCCCTGTTGTTACATGTAGTTACTGCGACAGCCAGGTCATGTGACACAAACTTGACTTCTATTAATCAATTTTTTATAGCTCGGGGTATTTCTTCATGAGTACAATGTTTTGAGATGGATTTGAAGCAAAATGTTGATAGATTAATTAGTTTGAATATGTTTTTAGTCCAAATATATCAAATCGCCCAGTTTGTATGTGGGAGGGGTGTCTTTGCATGTAAGTCTCTTTGTTAGTTAGGTTAAACATATTTTATCAGACTCTTAAATATACACAAATGTACATGCCTTGTAAAATTTGTTGGGGCCCGTATGGGACATGTTTAATGCTTGTTTAATTTATTGCAGAATTGAATGGTTACAATTACTATGGACGACCACTTGTATTTGTGTTGATTTCGAACAAGCCTGTGAAATGGAAGGTAGAATTTGCAGATATTGGATCAGCCAAAATAAAACACTTGTTTGTGGTAAGTTGTCTATAACAAATTCCATAAGAGATATTTACTTATGAACCTTTACAAGGGCTTTATTTAATTCATAGTCTACATACCTAAATAAAACAATACAACAAAGAATCTACATTTCACATTTCAAACAAAATTTAAAATAAAAGTTCATGTATAATAACCTACAGTACAAGATCAAAAAAAGAGTTCAGTACATTTAAGGAGCTATTCTTTGGCACCTTTTAATGGACACAAATGGGTCGCAACACATATAATATAAATGTATATAAACTGATTTACATTCAATCGTTTCTGTTTTACTGTAATTTCTAATCAGTTATGTTCGTCGATATATATGCGAAGAGTTCAAGTCTTAGGCATCTTGTTATTCTAGTCTACACCAGTAGTATTCTCCTGTGGAATATGTTTAGCCCATTCATCGAGTCACTTCATTACAAATGGCACCTGAAATCATTCTGGCATTCATTTTGTCTTAAATATTGGATATCTTTTCACGGTAAGATAACATCAATGTTCATTTAAATTGACCAATAAGGTGTGTTTGCAATGTGGAAGGCTGTGAATGATATTAAGTTAAAGACTTGCTTTCTTTAATATTGGGTTGTAAATATGTGGAAGTAGGTGTCACACATAAACATAATGATATTTATAGTCTCTTAACCTTTGTAAAAGGATATTATATACATTTTGTTTTTATGCCAATATCTTTTGCTATAAACAGCCAACATATAAAACAATATTATCTAAAAACTGAAAGTAATTACAGGACCACTTTGATTTTGGCAAAAAAGTGTTAATCTGATGTATAATTGAAATGTGGTCATACATGTACATACATTGTACTTGATTGCTATCTCCCCAGCATCTTGGTCCACCGTCCACGATTTCTTGTGGACGTTCTAGAATCCATAGTTATTATCCAAAAAAAACCAATGGATTAAACATTAAACTGCCGTCAAATTACAAATACAAATACCAAAAAATAAAAACAAAGTATTTGAATTCAAATATTTGTAGGAGCACAAAACCCAAATTGACAATTGAAATGGAATAAGATCATGAGATCAACTCAATCATTTTCCAACCAAATCATTGGTAATGTGTCCTATTAACCCCAGGATGATGAGACGTGGGTGGGGTGGGGGCTTCATATGCCTAGAATACAGGAATAAAGTATGGGTGTAGTAAAATATATGAATTTTAGTACCTGTATAGTTTACATAATTCTTTGGGATGCAATTTATGTTATAAATGATCTTAGTTTGTTTTTAATAAATGCATGCAAACATGTACTACTATTACTAGATTTTGGCAAATCCCATATAATCTGTTGCATACTGGTAAGGACTATACGACATATGATGATTATATTAACCAAGCAATATCAGGTTCAATACTTAAAGGAGAACTTAAGCTTATGCAGGTTTCTATATGGTTTCCATTATCTAGTATTATAAACTAAATAGATAAACAAACCAGCAGTACATGCTATTTAGCTATTTGTTGTACTCTGTAAACATATGGTAGTAGGTGAATACACTGTAAGAAAGTACACTATCATACCTTACACTGCTACCAGTTTGTTCATTTACTTTGACAATTCCTACATATATATGCATCTTGACATCACATATTGGGTATCATTTTGTTAAAGGCAAAACAATTTTCACTGTGGGTTTTGCTTTGTTGGAACTATGTACAACAAGATATAACTATAAGGGATAAAATGAAATCTGTAATGAATGGATTCTCCTTCAACTGTGTATTGAGTTAATGTGTCCTTGAATAGTACACTTGAAAAATGATTGGTATAATTTGTGTTTGTATAAAAAAATCTCTATCCTTGATACTATACTGTCGAGAATATATCTGGTGTTTTGATTGGGTCCCTTCATTGTGTGGAGTCAAACACATTATAAATGCCCTTATGTTCATAGCATAGGCTTTCAAACACAGGAAGATTTGCCTCAGTTGGATTTCACTCATTTCACACTGCTGTCTTTATTGTGGCCCGCATTTTGAAGAAAGCAGGGGATATTCAAATTGGCCTGTCTGTGTCGTTCCGTCACACATTTTGAGACACAGTAACTTTCCTTCTAATTGAGCTAGAAGGTTCAAACTGGATGTAGGATGTTTATTAGGTGAATGCCTTGATGGAGTTCGAAGATGAGCATTTTCTGCTTAGGGTAAGCAGAGATAAGCAATTTGATTGGTTGATGCTTGATTCTAACTTACATGTATGGAGAGTAATGAAACTTACCGTAGAGTTTCGCTACCAGGTACTTCAAAACCTTGACTGAGTTCGATCGTGAACGTTTTCTGCTTAGACTAAGATTAGATAATCAGTTTGATTGCTCGATACTTTTTAAAAAGATAAATGTGCAATTTATTAATATGTATCATCTATTTATTTTGGGATTGTGGCGGGGGACATCAGCCTCACTGTTGGCTTGTTTTGTCTTAAAAACATACATGTAGTCAGCAGAATTGTTATTCTCGGATGTGATGAATTACATAACATAAGTATTTACATTAAAGTAGTACATATCTTTTACTTTTGAGATATGTGTGAACCATATGGCCTTTGATATTTTACATTTGAAATGTCATAAATTTAATTTAATTCAGTTTAAACAAAAATAGTTTCATACTGAAATCAAAACCAAAAGTACCCCCCCCCCCCCCCCCCCCCCCCCCCCCCGCCCAAAACAACAAGAACCAATTCAAATATTATGAAGCGATGTACAGTAATAATATTGACTAGAATAAAACAGTAAAAGTATAAGCATCGATAAATGTAAGTACATGTAATAATTATGGTCGGATTTAACAGTAGGTTGCGACAAAGGCAACTCGGGATATTACAGCATTCTGAAACTCCTGAAAAGTTTTTTCATTTTGGAAATTTTGATAAATGTATTCCTGAAAAGGTTTTTCATTTTGGAAATTTTGATAAATGTACTCCTGAAAAGTTTTTTCATTTGGAAATTTTGATAACGTACAACATGTAGATACATGTATGAACAAATTATGTTATTAGAAAAAATAGTACTTGCATATGTAAGAGAAAAAAAATAATGATTTGAAACGACAGTCACTTATTTCTTATGCGATCACAAATAATAATTGCTTTAAGTACTGTATGCAAATCAAAATGTGAAATGGGACGGAATAACATCATGATGATAAATTACTTAATATAGTTATCTAGACACTTACATATAGTGTTTCTACCTCACATGGAAACTAAATAAATTATTTTCTCTTCAAAAAGTATGACGGTGTTTTAGATAGTTCCACAGGACTAGGATGAATATTTCCACGAGGCTTTCATACAGAATTAAACAGTTCTATTCCTGAAAAGACTTTTTTTTCTAAAAAAAATACCAGTACATGTATTTCTAATAGCAAAATAATTGCAATACATCTGCTGGATTTAATTTTCCAAACAGTGTGATTTTATGACAAATTACTCAGTTTCTTCCACAGTTAATTGTATTTTAATTCCTATTTTATTCAAAATACAATATATTGATAGTGGACTTCCGTCCCTGAAATTACATGGCAGCAAAGTCCCAAAACGAACATATTATTTGACTTGATTGATAACAAGAAAACAGATTTTTTTAGTAACATATATTTATACACTCATATTGAAATGTGATCATATATTATATATTACTTTTGCTCCTCTTGTTCCTTCTAGGAATTGCATTAAATTCTGAATTTATGTTCAAATCTAAGAAATCTGGTTAATTATACAGAACAAGTTTTTGAAACTTGGTGGGTGGGATATGGAGGAACTCTATTGAAATTCAGAATAATTTGATGGTATAATTTTAATGAACCCCCAATTAACTGTCAGATGAAAAATTCTGAACAGGATATTGGACAAATTTCTCAATAGAGGAGGATGGACAAGGACAAAATCTGTGTTTACATCCATTTATAGGAGTTTTTTTGTTTTGTTTTTTTTTTGTTGTTTTTTTTTAAAGCACTTTCACCAAACTCTGAAGTATTACCATACAAACCTCTGGTAATGTCTAATGGATCGATAATTTGTCGCATAATTCCTATTAATATTTCTCTGTATGAACACCAACATGATATTAACCATGGAAGAATCAGGGTGTGTGCCCTGGGAGTAGAATGCTCCAGTGAGGTTGTCTTGTAAATAAGATAAATTAATCTAGATAGAAACTATATATTGAGCAGACAGGTTAAAGCATTTAATGAGGTTAAAAATACCCATCAAGTATATTTTGAGTAAAATATAAGGCATATGTTGAGTAGAAGCACTGTGTTTTATATTATATAATGAAATAGTATTACCACCTGCCTCTCCTCCCTGCTTATCTCACTTTTAACTCCGCTACAATTTCTTAAACAGACCTATTTTCATATACATTACCAATGATCTGCATTTTAACACAAATTAACCCATTTCACAACTGACTTTACTGCCGCCCAACGTGTCCCGAATATTCCATGCGTGAGATACGCGTACAAGCAACTGCATGTTTTTCTCATTAAAATATTTTTGTACACTTGCAAAGATGTAAAATCGATTGAATTTAAGATAAAAAGATGAAGGTTAATTTTGGATGTTTTAAGAAAAATATTTGTGATATCTATCGTGTTTTCAAATGCAAAATAATCAATGTGTGAATGCCTTTAGATCATAGTATGACTGTCACTAATTGATTTGCACAGATAACATTTCAGATTTGTTTTTAGATAATTTTTTTGATACAAAAGTGTCAGGATTACAGAGATTGTCACTTTCCATTTATCACTGATGATTTTGAGTATTTTTATATATTAAAGTAGCTAAGTCCGTAACTCAATATCATCCAAAATCTTCGACATTGAAAACACGAATTTTTTTGCAATTTAAATCAGTATTGGTGTGATCTTACCTGGAAAAGATGGGCTTCTGATATCCAATATTTAAGACAAAATAAACATTTTACCATTGGTACACGAATCGTGTGCCATAA